GTGTCCCCCCCGTCCCCGTGTGTCCCCCCCATCCCCGTGTGCCCCCTGTCCCTGTGTGTCCCCCCCGTCCCCTTGTGTCCCCTCTGTCACAGTGTGTACGCCCCCATCCCCGCGTGTCCCCCTGTGTCTCCCCGTCCCTGTGTGTCCCTCCGTCCCCGTCAGATGTGACCCCCCCCGTCAGACACCCCCAGCCCAGCCCGGAGCCAGCCCCGGCCCTGTCCCTGCCCCCCGGGGACAATCCCGGGACAATCCCGGGATAATCGGGAATCAGGGCCGGTGGCTCCTGGTGCCGATCCCGGCTCAGACCGGCGGCCCCGGGCACAGCCCTGGGGACAGCCACGTGCCACTGATGGCACTGAGCCCACTGCCACCCCACCCTGATGCCACCCAGCCCCATGTCACCCATTCCCAATGTCACCTGTCCCGGCTGTCACCCGGCTCCAAGGTCACCTGGCCCCCATGTCACCCAGCAATATCACCCAGCCCCAATGTCACTCAACCCCAATGCCAACTGCCATGGATGTCACTTGGCTCCCAGGTCACCTGGCACCAGTGTCACTGAGCCCCAATGTCACCCAGTGCCAATGTCACCTGGCCAGGATGCCACCCAGCCTGGATGTCACCTGGTCCCAATTGCACCTGGCACTGATGGCAACCGTCCCCAATGTCATGTGTCTCCAATGCCACCCATCCCCACTGACCCCAAAGTCCCCTACAACACCCATCCCCAATGTCATCTCCCAAATGACACAATGTCCCCAGTGCTCCCATCCCGTGTCACCCACCCCAATGCCACCCGTCCCCAATGCCACCACGCCCAGCCGCCATCCCTGTACAGCTGTGGGTTTATTTGAGCCGTGGGTGACAGGGAGCAGCGGTCACACGGGGACACGGGGGCCTGGTGACGTGGCCACCCTGCTGCGGTGACACTGCCACCGGGGTCGGCCGCGGGGCCCCTCGGCGCGGTCACCGCTCACAGAGGCACAGGGCCGTGGCCCCTGAGGAGGTGCTGAGGCCACAGGGCGGGCTAGGTGGCCGTGTCACCGGCCGTGTCACCGGCCAGGGTCTTGGCCACCTTGTCCTTCAGGTAGGCCACGCGCTGCCGCTCCAGCTTCAGCTCCAGGAACTCGTAGTGGGGCACCTGCAGGGGACAGCGACGTGGCACTGGCCACAGGGGTCCCAGCTGGGTCCCCTCCTGTCCTGCCCCTGCCATGGCACCCGCCCGGGAGGGTCTCAGCGCCCATCTGGGGTCCCAGTGCCCCTCTGGGACGTGCCACCAGCCCCAGTGTGGCAGTGACACCGAGAGCAGGGCTGACAGTGACCCCGGGGTGACACGTGGCTGCCACACTCCCCCCGGGCTATAATTACCCCGGGGTTAATCCGGGCTGACCCCACAGGATCAGCTGCTGTGTCACCTCCCTGTCACCCCTGTCCCCCCCAGCAGCTGGCAGGTGGCCGGGGGGATCACGGTGGCTCATCCCTGCTGAGCCCCAGCCCGGGGGCAGCTGGCAGCCCCCAGGGGTGGCAGGGCCCCATCCCCACGGCACCAGCTGTGCCAGGGGGACAATGGCACGCGGCTGGTGTCACCAGGGTGGCCACGGGCACAGGTGAGGCCACACCTGGGGCTGGGGTCACCTCACGGGACGGGGGCTCCCGGCACAGAGCTCAGGTGGCAGCTGGGGGACGTTTTGGGGACGTTTTGGGAATGTTTTGGGAATGTTTTGGGAACGTTTTGGGGACGTTTTGGGAATGTTTTGGGGACGTGAGGCCACAGGGCGGGCTAGGTGGCCGTGTCACCGGCCGTGTCACCGGCCAGGGCCTTGGCCACCTTGTCCTTCAGGTAGGCCACGCGCTGCCGCTCCAGCTTCAGCTCCAGGAACTCGTAGTGGGGCACCTGCAGGGGACAGCGACGTGGCACTGGCCACAGGGGTCCCAGCTGGGTCCCCTCCTGTCCTGCCCCTGCCATGGCACCCGCCCGGGAGGGTCTCAGCGCCCATCTGGGGTCCCAGTGCCCCTCTGGGACGTGCCACCAGCCCCAGTGTGGCAGTGGCAGTGACGAGAGCAGGGCTGACAGTGACCCCGGGGTGACACGTGGCTGTCACACTCCCCCCGGGCTATAATTACCCCGGGGTTAATCCGGGCTGACCCCACAGGATCAGCTGCTGTGTCACCTCCCTGTCACCCCTGTCCCCCCCAGCAGCTGGCAGGTGGCCGGGGGGATCACGGTGGCTCATCCCTGCTGAGCCCCAGCCCGGGGGCAGCTGGCAGCCCCCAGGGGTGGCAGGGCCCCATCCCCACGGCGCCAGCTGTGCCAGGGGGACAATGGCACGCGGCTGGTGTCACCAGGGTGGCCACGGGCACAGGTGAGGCCACACCTGGGGCTGGGGTCACCTCACGGGACGGGGGCTGGGCTCTGCTCCCAGCACGGAGCTCAGGTGGCAGCTGGGGGACGTTTTGGGGACGTTTTGGGAATGTTTTGGGAATGTTTTGGGAACGTTTTGGGGACGTTTTGGGAATGTTTTGGGGACGTTTTGGGAATGTTTCCCCTGGAAGGGGCTGGGAGGGCTCGAGTGCCAGGCGGATGTGTCACCTGGGGCAGGGCCAGGGGGGGCACTGGCAGTGCTGGGCACACGGAGGCGCTGCCAGGGTGCCCGGGGTGTCCCCCAGGCCATGTCCCTGCTCACACGGGCACAGGGTGTCCCCACCCCATGTCACACAGGTCCTGGGTGTCCCCAGCCCGTGTCACACAGGTCCCGGGTGTCCCCAGCCCGTGTCACACAGGTCCCAGTGTCCCCAGCCCCTGTCACACAGATGCCAGGTGTCCCCAGCCCATGTCACACAGGTCCCGGGTGTCCCCAGCCCATGTCACACGGGTCCCAGGTGTCCCCAGCCCCTGTCACACAGGTCCCAGGTGTCCCCAGCCCCTGTCACACAGGTCCCTGCCCCGTCCCTGTGTGTCCCCCCTGTCCCCGTCAGATGTGACCCCCTCCCGTCAGACACCCCCAGCCCAGCCCGGAGCCAGCCCCGGCCCTGTCCCTGCCCCCCGGGGACAATCCCGGGACAATCCCGGGATAATCGGGAATCAGGGCCGGTGGCTCCTGGTGCCGATCCCGGCTCAGACCGGCGGCCCCGGGCACAGCCCTGGGGACAGCCACGTGCCACTGATGGCACTGAGCCCACTGCCACCCCACCCTGATGCCACCCAGCCCCATGTCACCCATTCCCAATGTCACCTCTCCTGGCTGTCACCCGGCTCCAAGGTCACCTGGCCCCATGTCACCCAGCAATGTCACCCAGCCCAAATGTCACTCAACCCCAATGCCAACTGCCATGGATGTCACTTGGCTCCCAGGTCACCTGGCACCAGTGTCACTGAGCCCCAATGTCACCTGGTCCCAATGTCACCTGGCCAGGATGCCACCTGGTCCCAATTGCACCTGGCACTGATGGCAACCGTCCCCAATGTCATGTGTCTCCAATGCCACCCATCCCCACTGACCCCAAAGTCCCCTACAACACCCATCCCCAATGTCATCTCCCAAATGACACAATGTCCCCAGTGCTCCCATCCCGTGTCACCCACCCCAATGCCACCCGTCCCCAATGCCACCACGCCCAGCCGCCATCCCTGTACAGCTGTGGGTTTATTTGAGCCGTGGGTGACAGGGAGCAGCGGTCACACGGGGACACGGGGGCCTGGTGACGTGGCCACCCTGCTGCGGTGACACTGCCACCGGGGTCGGCCGCGGGGCCCCTCGGCGCGGTCACCGCTCACAGAGGCACAGGGCCGTGGCCCCTGAGGAGGTGCTGAGGCCACAGGGCGGGCTAGGTGGCCGTGTCACCGGCCGTGTCACCGGCCAGGGTCTTGGCCACCTTGTCCTTCAGGTAGGCCACGCGCTGCCGCTCCAGCTTCAGCTCCAGGAACTCGTAGTGGGGCACCTGCAGGGGACAGCGACGTGGCACTGGCCACAGGGGTCCCAGCTGGGTCCCCTCCTGTCCTGCCCCTGCCATGGCACCCGCCCGGGAGGGTCTCAGCGCCCATCTGGGGTCCCAGTGCCCCTCTGGGACGTGCCACCAGCCCCAGTGTGGCAGTGGCAGTGACGAGAGCAGGGCTGACAGTGACCCCGGGGTGACACGTGGCTGTCACACTCCCCCCGGGCTATAATTACCCCGGGGTTAATCCGGGCTGACCCCACAGGATCAGCTGCTGTGTCACCTCCCTGTCACCCCTGTCCCCCCCCCCAGCTGGCAGGTGGCCGGGGGGATCACGGTGGCTCATCCCTGCTGAGCCCCAGCCCGGGGGCAGCTGGCAGCCCCCAGGGGTGGCAGGGCCCCATCCCCACGGCACCAGCTGTGCCAGGGGGACAATGGCACGCGGCTGGTGTCACCAGGGTGGCCACGGGCACAGGTGAGGCCACACCTGGGGCTGGGGTCACCTCACGGGACGGGGGCTGGGCTCTGCTCCCAGCACGGAGCTCAGGTGGCAGCTGGGGGACGTTTTGGGGACGTTTTGGGAATGTTTCCCCTGGAAGGGGCTGGGAGGGCTCGAGTGCCAGGCGGATGTGTCACCTGGGGCAGGGCCAGGGGTGGCGCTGGCAGTGCTGGGCACACGGAGGCGCTGCCAGGGTGCCCGGGGTGTCCCCTCAGCCTGTGTCCCTGCACACACAGGCACAGGGTGTCCCCAGCCCGTGTCACACAGGTCCCAGGTGTCCCCAGCCCGTGTCACACAGATCCCGGGTGTCCCCAGCCCGTGTCACACAGGTCCCAGGTGTCCCCAGCCCCTGTCACACGGGTCCCGGGTGTCCCCAGCCCCTGTCACACAGGTCCCAGGTGTCCCCAGCCCCTGTCACACAGGTCCCAGGTGTCCCCAGCCCCTGTCACACAGGTCCCAGGTGTCCCCAGCCCCTGTCACACAGGTCCCAGGTGTCCCCAGCCCCTGTCACACAGGTCCCAGGTGTCCCCAGCCCCTGTCACACAGGTCCCAGGTGTCCCCAGCCCCTGTCACACGGGTCCCGGTGTCCCCAGCCAACGAGAGCAGGGCTGACAGTGACCCCGGGGTGACACGTGGCTGCCACACTCCCCCCGGGCTATAATTACCCCGGGGTTAATCCGGGCTGACCCCACAGGATCAGCTGCTGTGTCACCTCCCTGTCACCCCTGTCCCCCCCAGCAGCTGGCAGGTGGCCGGGGGGATCACGGTGGCTCATCCCTGCTGAGCCCCAGCCCGGGGGCAGCTGGCAGCCCCCAGGGGTGGCAGGGCCCCATCCCCACGGCGCCAGCTGTGCCAGGGGGACAATGGCACGCGGCTGGTGTCACCAGGGTGGCCACGGGCACAGGTGAGGCCACACCTGGGGCTGGGGTCACCTCACGGGACGGGGGCTCCCGGCACAGAGCTCAGGTGGCAGCTGGGGGATGTTTTGGGGACGTTTTGGGAATGTTTCCCCTGGAAGGGGCTGGGAGGGCTCGAGTGCCAGGCGGATGTGTCACCTGGGGCAGGGCCAGGGGGGGCACTGGCAGTGCTGGGCACACGGAGGCGCTGCCAGGGTGCCCGGGGTGTCCCCCAGGCCATGTCCCTGCTCACACGGGCACAGGGTGTCCCCACCCCATGTCACACAGGTCCTGGGTGTCCCCAGCCCGTGTCACACAGGTCCCAGTGTCCCCAGCCCCTGTCACACAGATGCCAGGTGTCCCCACCCCATGTCACACAGATCCCAGGTGTCCCCAGCGTGTCCCTCACCTCGGCCAGCAGGAAGCCCGCGGCTCTCAGGTGCCTGCGGGCCATGGAGCCCCGGCCCAGCAGCTCCCGGCCCCGCGAGCTGAACTGGGGCAGCTCCCAGCGCAGCACGGCCACCCTGGGGACAGGACGGGGACACTGAGCACCCCGAGCCAGAGCTGGCCCTCAGCGGTGCCCCTGCCATCGCCTCCCGTCCCGTGTCCCCTCCCTGTCCCCTCCCGCCGCCTCTTCTTCCCCTCCCTGTTCTCCCTCCTCTTCCTCCCCTCCCGTCCCCCTCCCTCGGGAGCCCCTCCTGTCCCCACGCACCTCCTGGCCCCGGGTGGCAGTGGCTTTGTCCCCTCGGAGTGGGACAAGTGGGGGGCAGTGAAGTCCCTCACGGGCAGAGGTTTGTTGTCACCGTCCAGCACGGCCTCGGCGTCTGCAGGGACAGAGGGGACACAGGGGACAGGGACTCAGAGCCGCCCTGTGGCTCTGCTGGCCCCCCCAGGCAGGGCAGTGTCCGTGGGGCCCGCCGCCCCGGTCCCACGGGAGGGGACAGGGGACACTGGGACACGGAGTTGCTGTGGCAGCCGGTGGCCGGTCCCCGACACTGCGGGACAGGGACCGAATTTGACTGGGCTGCAGGAGGGTGCCAGGGGTGGCACAGAGCCAGGAGGGCTGCGGGGGACACGGTGGGTGACAGGGCTGCGGGGTGACACAGGAAGGTAATGGGGTGACAGGGCTGGGGGGTGACAGGGTGGGTAGCAGTGCTGAGGGGTGTCACTGCAGGGTGCCCAGGGTGGGTGCCAGGCCCCGGGGGTGTCACTGCAGGGTGCCCAGGCGGGTGCCAGGCCCCGGGGCTGTCACTGCAGGGTGCCCAGGCAGGTGGCAGTGCTGAGGGGTGTCACTGCAGGGTGCCCAGGGTGGGTGCCAGGCCCCGGGGGTGTCATTGCAGGGTGCCCAGGCGGGTGGCAGCCCCGGGGGTGTCACTGCAGCATGCCCAGGGTGGGTAGCAGGGCCCAGGGGTGTCACTGCAGGGTGCCCAGGCGGGTGCCAGGCCCCGGGGGTGGCACTGCAGGGTGCCCAGGCGGGTGCCAGGCCCCGGGGGTGGCACTGCAGGGTGCCCAGGCGGGTGCCAGGCCCCGGGGGTGGCACTGCAGGGTGCCCAGGCGGGTGCCAGGCCCCGGGGGTGGCACTGCAGGGTGCCCAGGCGGGTGCCAGGCCCCGGGGGTGGCACTGCAGGGTGCCCAGGCGGGTGCCAGGCCCCGGGGGTGGCACTGCAGGGTGCCCAGGCGGGTGCCAGGCCCCGGGGGTGGCACTGCAGGGTGCCCAGGCGGGTGCCAGGCCCCGGGGGTGGCACTGCAGGGTGCCCAGGCGGGTGCCAGCCCCCGGGGTGGCAGTGGTGGCACTCACCGATGTCCCAGCCGTACACTGTGCTCACGTTGTACCTCACGAGCTCGTGGCCCCCCAGCGCCCCCGGCAGTGCCTCCCGCAGCCCCCGCTGCAGGGGGGTGGCCTTGTCCTTGTCCCTGTCCCCGTGCCCCCCCAGCTCCTCGGGGGGCAGGAAGGGCCCCTCGTAGCCCGGGGCCTCCAGCCTGGCCGTGGCATTGATGTGCAGCAGCTTCAGCCACGAGCTCTGTGCCCGCGGGGAGCTGTCACCTGCGGGGCGGGGACACGCTCAGGGGACACCCCGGCCACGGGGATGGCACAGGTGACAACGGGAACGTTCCCCACAGGAAGGGCCCTGCAGCCCCAGGCTGGGTGTGGCAGCTGGCACTGGGCTTGTGCCAGGCCGGGCAGGGCTCAGATGGCACCAAGGACCAGGGGAACGGTGCCAGGGGGTGCCCAGGTGGCATCTGGGGAACCCCTGGAATCCCTTTGCCTCCTGGGAAGGGCTGTGACACCTGGGACACAGCCTGTACCCCCAGGTGAACCCAGCCCCCCAGAAGCCCCCCAGAAGCCCCCGAGCCCCTGAGAAGCCCCCAGCCCCCCAGACGCCCCCGGCGTGCCCAGGCTCCGTGTCTCCAGTGGCAGTGGCCCCCCGGGTCCCACGGGAGGGGACACGGGGCTCGTGGCCACGGAGGTCACTGTGGCAGCCGGTGGCCGGTCCCCGCCATGGGGGGGCAGGGACCGAATTTGACTGGGCTGCAGGTGCCAGCTGCACCTGGGGACAGGTGACAGCCCCCAGCTGCCCCCCCGAGCTCCTGGGCAGCCGTGGGTCACAGCACGGGGCAGGCCCACCCCTGTGTGCCAGGCTCACCCCTGTGTGCCAGGCCCACCCCTCCATGCCAGGCTCACCCCCCCGTGCCAGGCTCACCCCTCCATGCCAGGCTCACCCCTCTGTGCCAGGCCCACCCCTCCATGCCAGGCCCACCCCTCCGTGCCAGGCCACCCCCCGTGCCAGGCTCACCTCGCAGCCGTGCCAGGAAGGCGGGGCACAGCACGTGGCTGAGGAGGGGCGCGCGGGGCTGCTGCAGGACGCACAGGGACCACACCACGTCTGTCAGCAGGTGCACGTCCAGCTGCTGCTCCTGGCCCTGCAGCCGCTCGTGCACCTGCGCGGGGACACGGGCACACTGAGCACCACGGCTGTGCCCCCTGCCCGGGGGCTCGGCCACCCCACAGCCCTCCCACGGGAACACGCTAGGCAATGTCCCCACGGGAACACGCCAGGGAATGTCACCATGGGAACACGCCAGGCAATGTCACCCGTGCGCCGGGACAGGTGACAGCTCGGGGGCCACCTGGAGGGGCCCAGGCCTGTCCCAGTGCCAGCAGCGGGAGCTGGGAGGGTTTGGGACACAGGGAGTGCCCCAATGGGAACACGGAGTTTGGGAGGCTCTGGGGAGGGGTCTGCAGCTGGGGGGTCCCTGAGGTCCCGTAGATAAGGAACAATAAACTCAACTGAAGACCAAAAGCAAGAGTCCAGCCTCCTTCTTGGAGAGCAGGGCCTGCCCACCTTTTCTCGGGGCAGAGACCACTGGCAGCCGACCCCGCACCTGCCCACCCCGAGCAGGACCCCCAGGGCCTCACCATGGAGAAGAACTCCTCGCTGGAGCTGGGCTGGAAGTTGAGGCGGGCGAAGGACACGAGGACCCCGCAGAGCTGGGGCAGGGACAGGCCCTGCGTGTTGTCCAGGCAGTACTGCAGGGAAAAGGGGAGCGTGGGGCTGTGCTCAGCGGGGACAGCAGGGACACGCCAGCCAGAGACACCTCCCGGGGGAAACCAGAGTGGGGGAGGGCTTGGGACCTGCTCCAGGGACGAGGGAAAGCTCTGGAATGCCCCGGAGAGGATGGGGAGGGGCAGGGGGATTAACATGGCAGGAGCTGGGGCAGAAGCTGGGAGAGGAGCAGCAAGGAAAGGCCTGGAAACATCAGCAGGGACCGTGCTGGGTGGGACACCAGGGCTGGGGGATCCTGAGATGGTATCCAGCCACAAGGACAGGCCTGGAATGTCCCAGCCTGCGTGGGGACGTGCGTGGAGGTGAACTGGGACAGAACCGGGACAGGACTGGGACAGGACTGGGACAGGACTGGGACAGAACCGGGACAGAACTGGGACAGAAGCGGGACAGGACTGGGACAGAAGCGGGACAGAACTGGGACAGAAGCAGCACCAGCAGGCACAGCTGAGGGTTGCATGGAGCCAAACCCAGCAGGAAACGACCCCTGCCTCCCACAGGGAACGGTGACACCGCTTGGACAGGGAGGGGCCGTCCCTGCCACCGCTCCCAGGTGACAACACCCGCACAGGTGCGTGTCCCCCCCTCCCCCGGGCAGGTGAGGGCCCCCTGGTGCCCCAGGCCTCACCTGAGCCATGGCCTCGGCCAGGGGCCGGCTGAGCCAGCGCAGGCTGGCGAAGGAGCGGGCGCAGCGCAGCAGCTGCGGCGGGCTCAGGCTGCACAGCTGCGGCTGCAGCTCCAGGGCCAGGCGGTGCAGCACCTGCGGCTGCTGGAAGCTCAGCTTGCCTGGGCAAGGGGGGCAGCTCAGCACAGGGGGCTCCCGGCACCCCTGTCCTGAGCCCCCCAGTGGGTGACCGCTGGGAACGGTCACCCCGAGAGGAGAGGCTCCAGGGACACCTCAGAGCCCCCCCAGGGCCCCAGGGGGCTGCAGGGGAGCTGGGGAGGGACCGGGGACACCCAGGGTGTGGGATGGCCTCACGCTGAGCTCCCAGGGTTGGGGACACCTGGAATGCCAGGACATCTAGAACGGTGACCTGGGTTCACACCTGGAGCACAGAGCTGACCCACAACACCCAGCCCTGTTCCCTGCCAGCTCTGGGATAAACCCTGGGGAACAGCTGCTCGGGCCACCTGCATTCCCTGACCCCCCTGGCTGGGCAGGACAGCTTTGGGACCCCTCACAGCCCACCTGCATTCCCTGACCCACAGCCAGCCCAGGTAACCCCCAGCCCCAGGACAGTGGCACAGCAGGCGTGTCCCCAGCCCAGGACAGTGGCACAGCAGCAGGTGTGTCCCCAGCCCAGGACAGTGAAACAGCAGCAGGCGTGTCCCCAGCCCAGGACAGTGGCACAGCAGCAGGTGTGTCCCCAGCCCCAGGAAGTGGCACAGCCGGCGTGTCCCCAGCCCCGGAACGGGGACAGGGCAGACTGAAGGCGAAGAGCAGGTCGGTGAGCACGGGCAGGGGCAGCTCAGCAGGTTTCTGCAGCAGGTGGTAGGACAGGGCCCGCAGCAGGGGCACGCAGCGGCGCTGCTGCAGCGCCAGCGCCAGCGCCACGCGGCGCAGCTCGTCAGGGTCAAACTGCTCTGCCAGCTCCAGAGCCTGCGACAGGACAGGTGACACGGGACAGGTGAGACAGGGACAGGTGACACAGGGACAGGTGAGACAGGGACACAGGGTCAAACTGCTCTGCCAGCTCCAGAGCCTGCGACAGGGCAGGCGTGTCCCCAGCCCAGGACAGTGGCACAGCAGCAGGCGTGTCCCCAGCCCAGGACAGTGGCACAGCAGGCGTGTCCCCAGCCCAGGACAGTGGCACAGCAGGCGTGTCCCCAGCCCAGGACAGTGGCACAGCAGGCGTGTCCCCAGCCCAGGACAGTGGCACAGCAGGCGTGTCCCCAGCCCCGCAGTGGCCCTGGCACTCACTGAAGGCGAAGAGCAGGTCGGTGAGCACGGGCAGGGGCAGCTCAGCAGGTTTCTGCAGCAGGTGGTAGGACAGGGCCCGCAGCAGGGGCACGCAGCGGCGCTGCTGCAGCGCCAGCGCCAGCGCCACGCGGCGCAGCTCGTCAGGGTCAAACTGCTCTGCCAGCTCCAGAGCCTGCGGGACAGGTGAGACAGGGACAGGTGAGACGGGACAGGTGAGACAGGGACACAGGGACAGGGACAAACTGCTCCACCAGCTCCAGAGCCTGTGGGACAGGTGACACGGGACAGGTGAGACAGGGACAGGTGACACGGGGACAAACTGCTCTGCCAGCTCCAGAGCCTGCGGGACAGGTGAGACAGGGACAGGTGAGACAGAGACAGGTGAGACAGGGACAAACTGCTCTGCCAGCTCCAGAGCCTGCGACAGGACAGGTGACACGGGACAGGTGAGACAGGGACAGGTGACACGGGGACAAACTGCTCTGCCAGCTCCAGAGCCTGCGGGACAGGTGAGACAGGGACAGGTGAGACAGAGACAGGTGAGACAGGGACAAACTGCTCTGCCAGCTCCAGAGCCTGCGACAGGACAGGTGACACGGGACAGGTGAGACAGGGACAGGTGACACGGGACAGGTGAGACAGGGACACAGGGACAGGGTCAAACTGCTCCACCAGCTCCAGAGCCTGCGACAGGACAGGTGACACAGGACAGGTGAGACAGAGACAGGTGACACAGGGACAAAGTATTCTGCCAGCTGCAGAGCCTGGCAGGGACAGGGACAGGTGAGACAGGACAGGTGGAACAGGGACAGAACTGCTTGGCCAGCTCCAGTGCCTGGCAAGGACAGGGACACAGGAAAAGGGAGACAGGGGACAGGTGAGACAGGACAGGTGGACACGCGGGAGAGGGCAGACAGAGGACAGGCAGTGCAGGTGCCCCAGGTGGCACTGCTGAGCCCAGCTGAGCCCGCCCAGCCCAGCCCAGCCCGGTCCCCCCGGCGCCACACCCCGTGCCCCACCTTGTCCTCCAGGCGCTCCATCAGGGCGGGGGACAGGTGTCCCACCTTGGCCATGAGCGTCACCACGGGGCGCGGCCCGTCCAGCTCGGTCCAGCGCAGCTCCAGCTTGCGCAGCACCTCGGGCAGCAGCGGCCCCGGGGCGGCCTGGCCCGCCTGCTGCTCGGCCAGCTGCACCAGCTGCCGCAGGGGCAGGCGCCGCAGCCGCCACAGCACCTCCTGCTCCACCGAGCGCACCTGGCGCCCGCCCCGCGCCAGCCCCAGCGCCGGCAGGCTGCGCAGCAGCTGCAGCAGGGCCGTGTTCCACACCTGCGACACCTGCGGGGACAGGGACAGGGACATGAGTGACACGGGGATAGCAGGGCTGTGTTCCACACCTGCTACACCTGCGGGGACAGGGACATGAGTGACACGGGGACAGCAGGGCTGTGTTCCACACCTGCGACACCTGCGGGGACAGGGACAGGGACAGGGACATGAGTGACACGGGGACAGCAGGGCTGTGTTCCACACCTGCGACACCTGCGGGGACAGGGACAGGGACACGGGGACATGAGTGACACGGGGATAGCAGGGCTGTGTTCCACACCTGGGACGTCTGTGGGGACAGGGACAGGGACATGGGTGACACGGGGACAGCAGGGCTGTGTTCCACACCTGCGACCCCTGCGGGGACAGGGACAGGGTCATGAGTGACACGGGGATAGCAGGGCTGTGTTCCACACCTGCGACCCCTGCGGGGACAGGGACAGGGTCATGAGTGACACGGGGATAGCAGGGCTGTGTTCCACACCTGCGACCCCTGCGGGGACAGGGACAGGGTCATGAGTGACACGGGGATAGCAGGGCTGTGTTCCACACCTGCGACCCCTGCGGGGACAGGGACAGGGTCATGAGTGACACGGGGATAGCAGGGCCGTGTTCCACACCTGGGACATCTGCGGGGACAGGGACAGGGACACAGGGACATCAGTGACACGGGGACAGCAGGGCTGTGTTCAACACCTGCGGGGACAGGGACAGGGACACAGGGGCATCAGTGACATGGGGACAGCAGGGCCGTGTTCCACACCTGGGACATCTGCGGGGACATGGGGACAGGTGTGACGCGGGGACAGATGTGACACAGAGAGTGTTCCACACCTGAGACATCTGCGCACACCTGGGACATCTGCGGGGACAGGGACAGGGACACGGGGACATCAGTGACATGGGGATAGCAGGGCCATGTTCCACACCTGAGACATTTGCAGGGACATGAGGGACACAGGGACATGAGTGACACGGGGACAGGTGTGACACCAGCTGTGTTCTACACCTGCGACATCTGTGGGGACAGGGACACAGGGATATGAGTGACACGGGGACAGCAGGTGTGTTCCACACCTGGGACATCTGTGGGGACACAGGGACACAAGTGACAAGGGGACAGGTGTGACACCAGCTGTGTTCCACACCTAAGACATCTGCAGGGACAGGGACATGGGAACAGGTGTGACATGGGGACAGGTGTGACACCAGCTGTGTTCCACAGGACAGGTGACACGGGACAGGTGAGACAGGGACAAACTGCTCTGCCAGCTCCAGCGCCTGTGGGACAGGTGACATCTGCAGGGACAGGGACATGGGAACAGGTGTGACATGGGGACAGGTGTGACATGGAGACAGGTGTATCACAGAGAGTGTTCCACACCTGTGACATCTGCAGAGGACAGGTGTGACACAGGGCCAGGTGTGACAGAGGGCCAGGTGTGACACAGGGCCAGGTGTGACACAGGGCCACCAGCCATGTTCCACCCCCAGGAGCTCTGCCACAGGGACAGGGGTGGGGCAGATGTGTGACAGGGGCACCACTGTGGGTTTGGGGCTCTGCTCCTCTACCTGTGCCACCTCCCCAGGGGTGCCCTGAGCCCCTGGAGTGACCCGGGCACTGCCAGCCTGTGCCACCTCCCAGGTGTGCCCTGAGCACCCAGGTACAGAGCAGGGCACAGCAGCCACTGCAGCCCTGTCCCCAGCACTCCCAGTGCAGGTGGCTCCCCCTGTCCCCGTGTCCCCCTGTCCCCGTGTCCCCCTGTCCCTGTGTCCCCCATCCCCGTGTCCCCTGTCCCGTACCTGCCCGTCCAGGGTGCCCAGCAGCTGCAGGAAGCAGGGGTCCCTGCTGTCCCCACTGTCCCCATGTCTCCATCCCCATGTCCCCTGTCCCTGTGTCCCCGTGTCCCCCATCCCCATGTCCCCTGTCCCGTACCTGGCCGTCCAGGGTGCCCAGCAGCTGCAGGAAGCAGGGGTCCCTGCTGTCCCCACTGTCCCCATGTCTCCATCCCCATGTCCCCTGTCCCTGTGTCCCCGTGTCCCCCATCCCCATGTCCCCTGTCCCGTACCTGGCCGTCCAGGGTGCCCAGGGGGACAGGTGTGACACCAGCTGTGTTCTACACCTGCGACATCTGTGGGGACAGGGACACAGGGATATGAGTGACACGGGGACAGCAGGTGTGTTCCACACCTGGGACATCTGTGGGGACACAGGGACACAAGTGACAAGGGGACAGGTGTGACACCAGCTGTGTTCCACACCTAAGACATCTGCAGGGACAGGGACATGGGAACAGGTGTGACATGGGGACAGGTGTGACACAGAGAGTGTTCCACACCTGCGACATCTGCAGGGGACAGGTGTGACACAGGAACACAAGTGACACGGGGCCAGGTGTGACACAGGGCCAGGTGTGACACAGGGCCACCAGCCATGTTCCACCCCCAGGAGCTCTGCCACAGGGACAGGGGTGGGGCAGATGTGGGACAGGGGCACCACTGTGGGTTTGGGGCTCTGCTCCTCTACCTGTGCCACCTCCCCAGGGGTGCCCTGAGCCCCTGGAGTGACCCGGGCACTGCCAGCCTGTGCCACCTCCCAGGTGTGCCCTGAGCACCCAGGTACAGAGCAGGGCACAGCAGCCACTGCAGCCCTGTCCCCAGCACTCCCAGCAGTGTCCCCAGCACTGCCATCCCTGTCCCCAGCACTCCCAGCGCAGGTGGCTCCCCCTGTCCCCCCTGTCCCTGTGTCCCCTGTCCCGTACCTGCCCGTCCAGGGTGCCCAGCAGCTGCAGGAAGCAGGGGTCCCTGCTGTCCCCACTGTCCCCATGTCTCCATCCCCATGTCCCCTATCCCCGTGTCCCCCATCCCCATGTCCCCATGTCCCCTGTCCCGTACCTGGCCGTCCAGGGTGCCCAGCAGCTGCAGGAAGCGGGGGTCCCCGTGCAGGCTCTGCGTGTCCAGGCGCTGCTGGGCGCTCAGCCGTGCCAGGCGGGCGATGGCCAGCGCTGCCAGGTTGCTGCTCAGGGCGGCGCCGTGGCTCAGCTGCAGCAGCTCCTGCGCGCTGCCGGCGCCGCGGATCAGCTCCCGCAGCTGCTGCTCCTCCGCGTCCGCCCGCGCCCACGCCCGCGGCTCCTCCTCATCCGCCCGTGCCCGGGGCTCCTCGGTGCCCGGCCGTGCCCGCGGCTCCTCGCTCCCCGTTCCCGTTCCCGTTCCCCGTTCCCGTTCCCATTCCCCGTTCCCCATTCCCGTTCCCATCCCCATTCCCGTTCCCGTTCCCGGTCCCGTTCCCGGCCCTCTCTGACCTCTCCCGCCCGGCCCCGCGCACGGGCCGCCACCGAGACGCGCGGTTACGACGTCACCGCGCCGCGCCCGCTCGCTATTGGCCGCTCGGCTGCGTCATCACGCGGCGCCGGCACCTTTTCCGTGACGGGGCGGGAGCGCGGCCGCCATCGGCGGGGGAGCCCCGGGGGAACCCGGAGTGACCCCGGAGTGACCCCGGAGTGACCATCCCCCGAGTGACCGTCCCCCGAGTGTCCCCGGAGTGTCCATCCCGCGGTGTCCCCGAGTACCGCACGGGCCGGACCCGCCCGCCTCTCTGTGGGGCGCCCCCGTGTGGCGGCGGGGCAGACTGCAGCCACGGCGTTACGACGTCACCGCGCCGCGCCCGCTCGCTATTGGCCGTTCGGCTGCGTCATCACGCGGCGCCGGCGCCTTTTCCGTGACGGGGCGGGAGCGCGGCCGCCATCGGCGGGGGAGCCCCGGGGGAACCCGGAGTGACCATCCCCCGAGTGACCATCCCCCGAGTGACCATCCCCCGAGTGTCCCCGGAGTGTCCCCGGAGTGACCCCGGAGTGTCCCCGAGTACCGGACGGGCCGGACCCGTCCGCCTCTCTGTGGGGCGCCCCCGTGTGGCGGCGGGGCAAACTGCAGCCACGGCCCCTGGAGACCCCCAGTCCATCCCAGTCCGTCCCAGTCCATCCCAGTGCCCCTCCGAGTCCTCCAGTTCATCCCACTTTATGCCAGTGCCCCCCGCCCCGAAGATCCCCAGTTCATCCCAGTGCCCCCCCAGGAGATCGGCAGGAGCAGGGCCCGCACGGGCCGGGCCGGGTCCAGCCGGTAACTGCAGCACTCGCACAGCGACCGCACGAACGGCTCCTGGGGACAGCGGGTCACCGCGGCGGGGGCGGCCCGGACACCGGGACAACCGGGCACACCGGACAGCCCCGGGCAGTCCCGGAGGGCCCCGGACACACCCGGACAGTCCCGGACGCCCCGGAGAGCCCCGGGCCGTGCAGCGGCGGCCCCGCGGGCAGCAGGCGGGGCCGGGGTCCCCCCGCGCCCCCCGTACCTGCGCGCTGACGGCGGTGCGGGAGCGGCACGCCCCGGCGCAGTAGGACACACGGACGCCCCGCAGCACACACGCGCCCTTGGCGATGGTCCGCAGCGCCGTGAGGAGCCGGCACGGCCCGGGGGGCTCCTCTGCACCGGGGGGGACACGGCGTCACCGGGGCGGCTGCCGGGCCGCCCCTCCCCGGGCCCCGGTGCGGGGTCTCACCTGGCCACTCGTCCCGGCACACGGGGCAGCAGCTCCCGGGCTCCCGCACCGGCTCCGCGCCCTGCGGGGACCCCCAGGCTCAGCCCCTGCCCGCGGGGACCCCCCGGAGCCCCCCCGAGCCCCCCCGAGCCCGCACCTCGGGGCAGGTGAGTGCGGGGCAGGAGGTGGCGCAGGTGACGCGTCCCTCGGAGCAGCGACAGGTCCCGCACGGCTCCTGCCACTCGCTGCCGGCCTGCAGGGACCCCGAGCGCCGCTCAGGGACCCCCGCACGGTCACGGACCCCCCTCCCGCGCCCCCCGCCCTGCTCACCGCTCGCAGCGCCCCGCCGTGCCGGCAGCCGCAGCCCCCCGCGCTCACGCAGTGCCCGGAGCCGTTCCGGTACCGGCCCGGGGCGCAGGCGCAGCGCGGGGGCGGCCCGGGGGTCCCGGGGGTCGTGGGGGCCGCGGGGACCCCGGGGGAGCTGGAGCTGCCGGGAGTCCCGGGGGTCCCGGGGGACCCGGAGGTTCCGAGGGTCGCGGAGGTCCCGGGGGTTCCGAGGGTCCCCCCGCAGGTCCCGGGGGGCTCCGCCAGGTCCCGGCAGCTGCGCTCGCAGGCGGGGCCGGGGTCCAGCCACACCTCGCCCGGGGGGCAGCTTGGGGCCACCGGGAACGGCGCTGGGAACGCACCGGGAACGGGAACGGCACCGGGAAACCGGGAATGGCACCGGGAATGCCACCCACGGCCCTGACCCCCGGCCCTCCCTCCTCCCATCGCCCCGGCCCTCCGCCCACCAGTCTCCATCCCCCCTCCCTGTCCCACCCCTCCATCCCTGCGTTCCTCTTCCCCCGTTCTCCCCCCGGTCCGCTCCCCGTTCCCTCCCCCGTTCCCTCCATGCCTCCTTTTCACCGCCGCCCCCCGTGCCCCCGGGGTCCCCCGTGCGGGGCCCTCCCGGCACGGCCGCTGCCGCCGCCGGGTGCCGCCGCCGCAGCTGCGGGAGCAGCGCGACCAGGGGGACCAGGGGGACACGGCGGGGGACACGGAGGATGCAGGGGACAGGGGGGACACGGGGGACACGGAGGGCAAGGAGGACCCGGGGCCCGTGGGGACGGCGGGCGTCGCGGGCCCCGGGGAGGGACACGGCAGCTCTGGGCAGGTCAGGGTCCCGTTCTCGCAGGTGCTGCACCGGGGGTGACACGCGTGTCACCGTCACCGCGCGTGGTGCCCTGCCGCGTGGCACCGCCACCGTGCCCGTCCCGCCAGCACTGTGCCCGTGCCGGTCCCACTGTCACCGTGCCGGTCCCACTGTCACCGCCCCAGTCCCACTGTCACCGTGCCAGTCCTACTGTCACCATGCCTGTCCCACTGTCACGGTGCCCGTCCCGCTGCCACCACCGTGCCTGCCCACCCCCCGGCCCCGTGCTGTTCCCCCGTGTCCCCCCCACCCCCGTGTGTGTCCCCGAGTGCCGGTGCCATCCCCCCCGCCGCACCCGGGATCTGGGGGGGCACCGAGCCCTGAGCACCCCGGGGGGGTCCCGGCGGGAGGGGGGCTCGGGGGGGGCAGCGCGGGGGTTACCGGGGCAGGCGCTGGAGCTGCAGCTCTCGCTCTGCGTGCGGACCCCCGCGCACGCCCGCCCGGGGGGCTCGGGGCTCACGGGGTGCCGGTGGCGCAGGCGGGACCCCCCCGCGCAGGGGTCTCCGCAGGGCCCCCACGGCCCCCAGGGGCTCCAGACGCACGGCTCTGGGGGGGAACGGGGGGGCACAGGGGTCACCGGGACCCTCAGGGCCCCCCCTCATTCCCCCGACCCCTCCAGCCCCCCCGATGCCTTGTGAGACCCCCCCAATCCCCCCCCCCGGACCCCCATACCGGCGGCGCACGGCGTGTCCCAGCACTCGGGTCCCTCGGGGGTGCAGGTGCTGCGGGGGGGGACACAGGCGGTGGGCGAGGGGCGCTCGGGCCGCCCCGGCCCCCCCGGCCCCCCCACTCACCACTGCCGGCACGGGCCGGGGCTCCAGCGCTCGCCCAGGGCCCGCTCGCCCCCCGCCCAGGGGCACAGGGGGGGGCACGGCGCCTCCTCGCAGCCCCGAGCCTGCTCCTGGGGGGGCCCGCAGGGTGCCCCCCCGCCCTCGGGGGGCACGGGAGTCCTGGGGGGCAGGGGGGTCACACGGGGCATCGACCCGGCTGGCACCACCGGCGTCCCCGCAGCCCCCCCGGTGTCGGGTTTGGTGTCCCCCCCCCAGCGCCAGGTGCGTCCCCACCGTGACGTGGCCCCCCCGTGGTCCCGTGTGCCCCCCAGTGTCGTGGCCCCCCAACATATACCCGGCTCCCCCCCAAGTTCTGTGCTCCGGGGGGCGGGGGGCTCACCGGGGGGGCAGCGGCAGCCGGGCTGGCAGGGGGCCCCCCCCGCGCAGGACACCCCCTCCTGCAGGTCCCGGCAGCTCCGCGGGCACTGCGTGGCGCAGGGGGACACGGCCTGCCCGGGGGGGCACCGCGGGCCTGGGGGGGCACCGTCAGCGCCGCGACCCCCGCAGGGACCCCCCCGAGTCCCCCGGGGCACACCCAGCCTCCCGCAGCCCCCCCGCAGCTGCTCCCCAGTGCAGACCCCCCGGTACCCCCCGGTGCCCTACCCCGTACCCTGGCAGTGGGGCAGGCTGCAGGGGTGACCCCAAACCCCAAACCCCGTACCCTGGCAGTGGGGCAGGTTGCAGGGCCGCCGCTCGCTGCTGCCCCCCGCCCCGCAGTTTCCCCCCGCGCAGCCCCGGCGGCGGCTCCGGCTCGCGGGGCGCTCGGGCCCGGTGCAGGTGCGGCTGCAGGGCCCCCACGGCCCCCACGGCCCCCACGGCCCCCACGGGACCACCGGGACCGCTGGGACTGCCGGGACTGCCGGGACCACCGGGGACCCCCCGGCCTCCGCCGCGGCCCCTGCGGGGACGGTCCGTCAGTGCCCTGGGGGCAGAGCCCGGGGGGCGGCACGGGGGGAGGGACCCTCACCGGGGGCTGTGGGGCCGGGCTCCTCTGTGGGGCTGAGATCTGATATAGGGCTGAGATCCGATATAGGGCCGAGATCTGATATGGGGCCGAGATCTGATATGGGGCTGAGATCCGATATAGGGCCGAGATCCGGTGTGGGGCCGAGATCTGATATGGGGCCAAGATCCGGTGTGAGGCCGGGCTCCTCTGTGGGGCTGAGATCCGGTGTGGGGCTGAGATCTGATACGGGGCTAAGATCCGATACAGGGCCGAGATCCCATATGGGGCCAAGATCCGATATGGGGCTGAGATCCGGTGTGGGGCCGAGATCCGGTGTGGGGCTGAGATCCGATATAGGGCCGAAATCCGCTGTGGGGCCGGGCTCTGCTGTGGGGCACAAACAGCCGGTGACAGCCCCGGGCCGGCCGGGACCCCTCAGTGGGGCCGGGACCCCTGGGGGGGCCCCAGCGGGGGTCCCGGGGGGCTCCGGGCCGGGGGGGGTCCCGGGCGCGCCCCCCCCCAGCAGCGCGGCCGGCACGGAGCAGGGGCACTGCTGGGGCTGAGCCGGGGGTGGGGGGCGCCCGGGGGGCACCCACAGACCCCAAACTACTGCAAACCACCCCAAGCACACAGCCAGGGACCCCAAAGCACAGAGCCAGGGACCCCAAACCCCAAAGCACAGAGCCAGAGACCCCAAACCCCAAGTGGGGCCGCACCCCGGTGTGGGGCCGGGACCCCGCTGTGGGGCCGCACCCCGGTGTGGGGCGGGGGCCGCGGGCCGGGACCCACCGGCGCAGGGGGGGCTCGGGCAGCTCGGGGTGGCCGCGGGGGTCCCGTTGCAGGGGGGGTCCCCGGGGGGGCCGCAGCGCAGGCGGCCCCACAGGCACGAGCTGGGGGGCACAGGGGGCGTCAGGGGGGCACAGCCGGGTGAGGGGAGGGGGCGCGGGGAGGTGGGGGAGGCCCCGGGAC